AAATTCAGGCAGCTCTCGCAGCCACACTATTATTCATCCTCGTGCTCACGTGCTAAACTATAAGTGCACCATTTTGGTTTCAGGTGCTGCTGAGGAGCTCGAGGCTCTGCTGTCAGGGGTCCTCCCTGCCAGCCAACCAGCCAATGCTCTCCCCAGGGAACAGCACTGACCCCAGGGCTACCACACATCCCATCCCCCTGTAATCCCACAGACCATCAGTGGCACCCAGCCCCAGTCCAGGGACCCCTGTAGCCGCTGATCACTCCAGCTGCAGTGTGACAGCAGGATGTGTCCCATGGCACAAGCCTCCACAAGCAAGTTTTAGCCCTCGTGTTCAGCACAGTTGTGGAAAGGGCTGCTTTCCAGCTGTGACAGAGCCAGCCTCTCCCCAGCCGCACACACCAACCCCGCACAGCAAAGCGCTGTAACTAAACCACGGGAAGCTGCTGAAATTCCAGCCGTGCCTCTCCCTGCCCTCCCGAGCCCAACAGAATTCTCGCCGGCAGTCAGGAAAAACACATGTTGGGTTAAGATCAGATCCGAGCCTTGCCACCCAGTCCCCATCTGCTTGTACAGGGACAGCAATCTTTTCAGCTGCTAAAAGTGCACATCATCATCATCATCATCATCATCAAAAATACCCCGGTGACTTCCTCCCCCCGGCGTTCAGCTCCTCGTCCTCCCCCACCGCCCTCCCGAGGATGCAGCGCAGGGCTGCGCTCGCTGCCCCGCGAGCACCAGCACGGAGCCGGCACTGGGTCCAACCCCAGCATCTCCCCCTTCATCCTCCCCTGGCAAGCCGTGGGGACGAGGCCAACCCCCATTTCGGGAGCCACCTGCTCGGCTCGTGGAGGTTGCGGCGCCAACACGGTCCCCCCGGGTGCCCAGATCGGCGCGGGGGGGTCCATTTTCACTTTGCAAACGCGGGCGAGGGGTCGGCACCCGAGTCTGCCCGGCAGGAAGCAGGGAAGCGCAGGGAACAGCATGACAGCTCTCAAACGAGAGAGGGCACAGCAGGTGCCCAACTCTGAAGGGAGAAAAAACTGCGTGACCCCACCATTTAGAGCCGAGGGGACGGACCCTGCCCAGCTGTGCGATCCCAGCTGCAGGTACCGGCGCTGCTCGGGTACCAGCGGCTCGTTGCCCACCTGGGGGTCCAGCACGGCTCTCTACAACCCCCTCACTGTGAGCCCTGGGCAATTCCCTGCTGCAGAGCAACTCGCTGCCTGGCTGCGTGTGCGCGCCCGTGCGCAATGTGCACCAAGTCCGGGTCCCCCGCGCACACCCCGCTCGGCTTTCCCACCCTGCGAGCCCACAGCCCCCCATCCGCCGGAGAAAAAGCTCTTCGCACTACCTGGGATGAAGAGCAGGGCAGTGGTGGCCGTGAAGACGATCCAGCAGGCAGGATGGTACATCTTGGAGCTGCGGTAGGCGAGCGGCTGATTTGCTTGCTGCTTGCTGCTGCCGCCGCTGCTTTCGTCTGCGCTGAATTCTGAGCAGGTTTAAATCCAATGTTTGCAGAGGGAGGGAGACTGAGTTAGTGAGCTGGAGAGAGAGAGAGAGACGGGAGCAGGCAGTCAGTGTCTCTGCTTTCCCCTTGCACACGCACACGCACACACACGCACACAACTAGCAGAAGGAGCACCAGGCTCCGTGCGTGCACAGGGAGCGCAGACCTCCTACCAGGCACCCATTGGTTCAGGATGCTGACTGACACACGCACACTTGCTCTTCTGCGGGTTTCACTCCGCAGCCAGGGAGTTAAATGCAGGCATCGACCCCCCGAGCATCCCTCCCAGCACCAGCTGGTGCCCGGGATGGAGGGAGCAGCCCTGCACGGGGACAGGCACAGTCCCACCGACTCCTCCTGCACCAGCCGCCTGCAAAGCGGAATTTTTTGTCCCCCACGCTGGAGCCGACTGGTGGGGCAGCCCCAGGCTCACCCTGCTCTCTGCTCCCCTCCCTGGGAAGGCACCAGCAGCTCTGCCTGCTGCTGCGAGGCAAACCAGGGAGCAATCCAAGCTTTTTAGCATGAGTGGGTGTTTTTCGCACAAAATCTCTGAAGCCGAGAAGCAATCTTGCCTGTGCATCCCAACCAGAGACATATTTTCCCTTCAGCAGCTCACAGAGCCCCCAAAAGATGTCGAGCTCAGGGTACCTGCTCCTACCTGAGCAGACCCCCTAACCTGACATCGTCCTGTTCCCACCCAGGCCAAGGAGTTTTCCTCAGGTTCTCCTTCCAGTCGGCCACAGTTTTCCCCACGATCCCTCCTGTCCCCCAGATCTCCCCTTGGCACGTTATCACACCCCTGCTGAGCCCTGAGCATCCCCAGTGCAGGGCATCAACAGCTGCCCCTGCCATGTCCCTTCCTCCCATGGCCACCCCACATCAAAGCATTTGCCAGCAAGGGCTTGAGTTTGCTGCATTGCCAAAAGAAACAAAAACAAAAACAGGTTGCAAAGGTAAGCTTCCCAAAGAAACAGCACTTATTTTTGACATTTTGTAAACAAAAAGATGCTTCTTATTTTGCATTCATTTACTTATTTAGCACTCGCTGTGTTAAACTCTAAGCATTTTTTAATGCTTAAAGTAATATGTTTGGCTTTGTTCAAAACAATCTCTTTCCCCACCAACTCAGGGCTCAAGGTCTTTTTTTTAAGTTCCAGGCCAGCCCAAGAGTACTTTCAGCACAATACTTTGGACTTCCAGCTAACCCACCACAGCTTTTTGGCACCAGCGGCCACAAACTCCTCCACATCCCACATCCCAGGGTTTCATCTGCTCCTCATCTTAGTGTCTGTGCCATTCTACCTGGGCATGCTCTCACCATCCCTGGATGCCCAGGACACACCACTTTCCTGGATTCTTTTCCCTCAAGACCCCTTTTTGCATTAAACCATCATCACAGGGAGTGTCTGGATAAGGGACACTCTGCATTGGGTGTGCACAAATCCCAAAGGATGATGCATCCACACATTAATTCCCCCAACCTGCTACAGACCTGGGACCAGAGCAGCCACCAAACACCTGGCATCCAAATCCAGCCACAAACCCCTGATCATTCCCCCTCCCTCCTGTCTTTCTTTCCCCCATTTCTCTCACCTACTTGTTTCAGCTCAATGCAGAGTAATCAGAGATGGCCACCACATCCCTCTCCATGCACATCCCTCTTATCCTGCATTATCTCCATTCAAAGCAACACCAGAAGGAGCAGGAATAGTGGGTTTGGTGCACAAAGCCACATCCATCATGCTCTGGAAGGAGTTCCCTCACCCAGCAAGGGATGGAAGCCAAGCACACACCACCAGGACAAACATTCTCCAGCTTTTAGCCACTAATGGCTCTTCATTTTTTGCTCTGTATGACTGAACTACAAGTTTTAACTCAGCCATATTCCCACATTATGTGCTGTCCCATCACCTGCATCTTTAGGAATATGCTGAAGGAAACATGACTAAGGACTATGCTCCTTTAAAAGTTATGTTGTTTGCAATAACCCTGACCTCAGAAAGAGCTAAATCATCTGATTTTTGCACAAGCACTGAGCAAAACCCAACAAGCCCATTGTCTCCCTCAGCTTGGGATGAGGATGGGATATTTCTGTCCTGAATCTCCCTTTAACTGACACCCCAACAGCCGCCATCAAGTGAATTTATCCTTTGCTTCATAAGTATTTTGGGAAAACAGCTGCAAGAAAGCATTTGGGATTTCCCAGGGCTGCGGGGCATGTGGCTGCATCCTTCAAGGCCAGCCCAGGGCAGGGACATCTGTGTCCTGAGGGGACTGAGCAGCTCTGGGGCTCAGCTGAACCCTCTGGCTGCAGCTCGTTCTCCCAAACCCACACAGCGAGCTCTGAATCCACCCAAGGCATAAAGAAATAAAGTTATCCCGGAGAAACTAAAGGAAACGAACAAAGAAATCATTTCTAATTAACAGAAATGTTTGATGGACTCAGAACAAACATGTTGCTCTGCTTTCAAAACCTGAGTTGAAAAGCTATATTTGGGTAAATTTCAAAACAACACATTCTTACTTTTTTTCCCCTCCCACCACAGTTTTTCCCATATGCTTTTTCTTTTTTTTCTTTTTTCACCTGGCAATGATTATTACCCAAATCCAGCACACACTTAGCTGCTCTCCTTACATCTATTTTGGCCAATTAGGCTGGCACCCAAATTGCCAAGTGCAGGTCTGAGGGTGACCTCGGACCAGACCTCTGGTGCATTGATGCCTTTACCTTCCCATCTGCAAAATGGGAACAAACGTGCTTTGATCAGGCAAACAAATCCCTCACTGCTCACCAGCTTTGCAGGACTGACCAGCCACTGGCCTGTTTCATTTGTTTGATTTCCAAGACACATAATAAAAAGGTGTATAAATATGTATTTAGCTGGTGGAGCTTTTCTGGGATATTTGGGGTTGTTTGCTTTTTGGTATCAAGCAGAGAATCTAAAATGCATATTTAGATTTGACAGGCAGCACCCGATCTGAGAGGAGACATTATGGTCCGCTGGGCACATTTAGACATGATTTTTGTGTGTATTTTGAGAGGTTTTTTTTCCCCAGCTGTCTCAATGCATATTCACATCTGGGACCAGACTAGTCTCTGGGGGAAATAACACATTTCCAGCGAAGCAGAGGTTTCCTCACCCTCTCCTTGTGCAGCCAGGGAGAGGGGGGCAGAGCACCCCAGAAGCGGGAGCACAGGGCGAGGAGCAGCCCTGCTCCCGTCACAGATGCTCCATCGTGATGTCCAGCCACGCCCCCCCCCCAGGTCCCAGGCACCAAAGCAGCCTCCCCTGGGGTGATCCCAGCTGGTGGACGTGATCCCTCCACAGAGTCCTGCATGACCACGCACACAGAGCTCTGTCTCCCTGCTCCTCCGGGCCCCGAGGCCACCGCCCTTGTCCTGGCCACCTGCCCCCCCTCCTTCCCAAACCCAGCATCCCACAGCCTGTGCACCCACCTCCACGGAGCCCCCTAACCCAGACCAGTCCAAGGGAACTGGATGGCACCTCTCCACAGGGCTGGGGCTTTGCAAGGAGCCCCAGTGCTGCCCTGATGGGTGTCTGCTCCCCTCAGACTGTGGTGAGCAGGAAGGGAAGCAGCAGGGCTGGGGTGGGCAGGAAGGGAAGCAGGAGGGCTGGGATGGGCAGGAAGGGGTGCAGGCGGGCTGGGGTGGGATGGCAGGAGGGTTGATATGGGCAGGAAGGGAAGCAGGAGGGCTGGGGTGGGCAGGAGGGGAAGCAGGAGGGTTGTGGTGGGCAAGAAGGGGTGCAGGTGGGCTGGGCTGGGGAGGATGGGGTGCAGGAGGGTTGGGATGGCCAGGAAGGGAAGCAGGAAGGTTGGGCTGGGCAGGAAGGGGTGCAGGAGGGCTGTGATGGGCAGGAAGGGAACCAGGAGGGTTGTGGTGGGCAGGAAGAGGTGCAGGAGGGTTGGGCTGGGCAGGAAGGGGTGCAGGCAGGCTGGGATGGGGAGGATGGGTGGCAGGAGGGCTGTGGTGGGCAGGAAGGGGTGCAGGAGGGTTGGAAGGGGCAGGATGGGGTGCAGGAGGGTTGGGGTGGGCAGGATGGGTGGCAGACGGCTCCAGGGGAACAGAAAGTGCCCCAAACCAGCCGTGCCCGTGGTTTCACCCCCTGCCCTCTCCGCAGTGCCCGCCCCAGCAGCCCCCACAACCTCCTCCCGCCCCCCTCCCTCCTTCCTGTCCCCTCCCTCGGGGTGTGTGTGTGTGTGCTGTGCTGAATGAAAGGCTACCCTTTTCTCCTTGACATCTTGTTAGAATGTGAATACAACAGCTATTGATTTGCATTTCGTGCAAGTAGAGAAAAAAAAAAAAGCTTTTTTTTTCTTTTTTTCCTTTTCCTTTTTTTTTTTTTTTTTTTTTTAAGACTCTCTGAACTCAAAGCTCCTTCAGGAATAAACAGGCTGGATGGGGCTTGGAGCAACCTGGTGCAGTGGAAGGTGTCCCTGCCCATGGCAGGGAGTTAGAATGAGCTATTTAAGGTACCTTCCAACCCAAACCATTCAGTGATTCTACAAATGAAGCACCAACCTCCCCAACCTCTGCATGGAGAGCACAAGGACCACCTGACCATCCTCCCCCAAAGTGCTGCTTCATCCCTACAGTGAATTACCCCAGGCTGGGCCAGCAGCACCCACACAGCTCCATGAGGAAGACAAACTGAGAATGATTAAGCTGGACAAGGCAACTAAATTAGCAGGAAAAGCCAAGGGAGAAGCAGGCAGCACTGCTCACCTCTTGAGGTTTGCATTGCCATCACTCAGGCTCCTTCCACACAGGTCCCCAACCATTGTGACACAGACACCAACTGTCCTGCTGCCCCCTTCCTTGGGGAGAACATCCTCAAAACCAGGGCAAGCAAACCCAGCAAACAGGGATGCTCCAGGGGAGAGAAACCCAGGGAGGGAAATTGGGGTGCTGGCAGGAGGGTGAGGGCGAACAGCTCTCCATCACCCACCACAGCGGGGTGCTGGGGGGATTAATTAGCGTTTGTAAAGCACTTTGAAGATAAAGTCGGGCTGCGGGAGAGCTCGGAACTGGGAACGAGCTGGAGGTGGGGACAGGGGACCCCAGCACGGTGTGGTTTCTTATCTGGTGCACAAGCTGCAGCCCTGGCTGGGCGGACGCCGCGCGGGCTCACATGAAAGGCAGAACGGGAAAATTTCTGCAGCGCGGAAAAAAAAGAAAAATCAAGCTCATGCTGCTTGGGAAAAATGAGTGAGAGGGAGATGAAAAGATGGGATCTAAGTCTCTAAAAGCTGGAGAGACCTGCTATTGATTCTGGCTTGGGAAGAAGGGGCCTGAACAAGAGCTGGTGTGTTGTTAAGTGCACTTATCTCGTCTTGTTAGATGGCAGAACGGGGCCAGATGGACAGGGTACTAATTCCCGTCAAGAATCATTACAGTCGTGTGCTGGATGAGGCACCTCCAAAGGCTCCCTGTGAGCAGTGGCAAACATGGCAGCACCATGAGGTTGGGACCCCCCCGAGGTCCCTGGGCAACCTATTCCAGTGCTTGAGCACCACTTCCCTAAAACAGCTTCGTTACATTTAAAGAGAATTTCTTGTACCTTAATTTGCGTCCGTTGCCTCGTGCCCTCTCTGGGCACTCCTGAGAAGAGCCCAGCCTCCTGTACACCCCCAGGTACTCCCAGACACCCAAAACACAAAAACACCCATCCCCCAGAGCACCCCATCTCCTGGAGAAATCCTCGTGGGAAGGAGGCTGGTGGGAAAAGCCTGCGAGAGAGTTTGCTCCCCTCCTCAGCCGTCAGGAGGATGGGCCCGTGCCAGGGAGTGATGAAACACAAGATACCCTCACACAGATCTTTGATCATAGTAATTATCCCTTGTTGTCGTGTACAAAACATTATCTCCACGCAGACATCAAATTCCTTCTGTACCACCCCCGATCTCCACACACCCCACTGCTCCTGGCTCCCCATCCCATCAGCTCTGAACACACTCTCACCAGCACCAGGGCAGGATTCCCTTCTCCCAGTCAATGGGTTGGAAACGAAGAGGTTTTTTTTGTCTGCCTCCCTTTGATCAAAATGACTGAACATCGGGGGAAAAGGAAAGAAAACAAGGTAGAAATGATGCATCCCTGATCCATAAGCAGGAGATGGTTCAAGGATAAACTCAGGCATTGCTCACTGGCTGTGTGCTGCTGGGGGTTGGATTTTCTGTTCTTTTTATTTTTTTAAGAGCGAGAGAGAAAGAAAACATTTTTTTAAGCTTTGCTCCTTTTCATTTTTCTCCGAGTTCAGTGGCTTTCCTCGTCAAGCCTCTGTAGCTCAGGTAAGAACAGAGGGCTCCAGATTAAAGAGCAACACAGCAGCAAGCAGAAGCCGTCAAGATAACAGAGAGGACAAAGTCAGGAAAGACAAAGGAGGGAAGTCTGCTTTCTGCAAGATTCCCACTTGCAGCTTTTATGTAGATTACTCCAGAAACAAGGACCAAGCTGCACATTTCAGACTCTGATCCCAACTCTCTCCGCCTGGACACGGGGATCCGGGACAACGAACTGCATCAGGAGCCATGGTCTCAGCAGCAGGGCCCTCACAGACATTTAATACACCCTGGATTTTTATAGATCCCTGGGTGGGTGGACAGACAGACAGCACGCTAGACTGACAGCTCTAAATACCTCTCTGCACGAGCGTGGGCAGCAACCAAGCGTGGTGCCTCCTGCCAGAGCAGCTCACGTGCCGGCAAAAATCCCAGGCGTGCAGCTCGTCCCCGCCCTCACTCCTCTCCCAAGGCACCCAGCGAGACATGGGTTGGGAGAAGGAGTTGGTTTCATCACCCCTGATGCCAACAAGGGCCCACCAGCTGCTTCCTGCAGCATCACCCACCATGGGATGCAGTACTGCCTCTCCTCCCTCGGCTGCGAGATGTCCAACCCTAACGCTTCTCCTTGGAACCAAAACCAACCTGCAAGTTGGGAGAAGATTTGCCTGGAGCCCCACTGCAAAGCCAGGCACCCCACAGACTGAGGGCTCAGCAGGGTCCACGTGTCCTTTGAATGTGACTCCAGCACTGACATACTCCGAGAGTCCAGGGAGGTTCTCCGAGGAAACCTTCCCTGCCGACTTGTTTATAGATCTATTCTTAGCTCCACTTGGACTCATTGCAGAAGCAGCAAGGAGCCTTTCATCCCCTGACCCTGAAGCACCTTAAGGAATATGAGCTGAGCCTCGAGGAGAGAAAATATTGTCCTCTCTGTTAGACCTCTGACAGAGGGGTCAACCCACAGATGAGGCCAGGAAGATGGGCAGCAGGCCAGCAAGAGGAGCAGGGAATAGCAAATAGGCAGGAGAGACTTTAGATGTGCACAAGGCAAGAGGCTGCCCATGGACAGCTTGGGAAAGATGAGCACACGAGGTGCATCAGAAATTGGATGAATTGGGAGGGCTCAAAGGGCAGCTGCACCAAGTCCAGCTGGAGACCCCCAACAAGGGGATGAGAGACGTCCTTCCCCTCAACCAGGAGCAGCTTCTGGGAGCGTTCTGGTGCTCTGTCTGCTCCAGGTAGCACCCACAAACCCACTGCCCTCTGCATAAGGCACTAGGAGGGGGAAAATATGTGACCAAGATCCCATTTTCAACCAGGAGCAGGAGAAGGGAGGCTGAGTGGTGACAAACTGTGCAAATAGCTCCATCCTTGGGATGTTCCCAGGGAAAGGACATCCTGGAGGTTGTAAAGAAGCCACCAAACCACCATGTCCTCACTTTGCTCCTGGATGAAAACAACTGTATTTCCTTTGGGCCCTGTCCCAGAGTTGTGATGAGAACATCTCCTATTAAAGATTGGAGATGCACATCACCCCTAATCTGGGGAGGGAGAGCAGGTGCCGGGAGAGGGGGCACTGCACCCTCGTGCAGCACAGAAAGGATTTTCCATATGCTGCCTGATCAGTTATATCAGTTTCTTAAAATGCTATTGCACAGATATTTCAGAGGCATCATGTAGTACCATCTGTTATGTTATATATTGCACCGAGCCCGGCCAATTTTCAGATCCTGTAATTTTATCTCCTCCATTTCATATGCGGCGCAGGCATTTTGCAAGAGGAGCCGGCGGGGAGCGGGAATCTGCACGGGAGGGATGGAGCGCGAGTAAATCGAGAGGCAAGGCCCGAAAATGGCAGCTCCCGCCCATCCCAGACACTGGAAAGGAGTTTTGGGGCTGCACCCCAACATTTTGGGTCAACCACCTCAGAGCAAGGCCTGCCTCGCCCAGGGCAGAGCGCAGCTCTCTCCGTCTCTCCCGCTGCATCCCTGACTCCAACAGCAACACTGCGGGGTGGAGAGACGCCTCCGGCATCTCACAGATGTCCTTTTCCCTGCCTCCCCCAGCTTTTCCAGGCGGCACTATGGTCCCCCCATTCCCCATGGCAGCGAGGAGCTGCACCCCGGCACGTCCTGCCACGCAAACCCAACACCCGCGTGGCAAGGGATGCTGCAGCAGGACAGCCCCGTGCCAGAGTTATCCCCTCCCTTATTCCTCTTTCCAGGGAGCAGCAGGAGCAAGAGGAGCTGTTGGTGCAGCCAGCATGGGGCATGTGGACTCCCCATCCCTGGAAGAGTTCAAAGCCAGCTTGGAACAACCTGGTCTAGTGGAAGGTGTCCCTGCCCGTGGCAGGGGGTGGAACGAGGTGGGCTTTAAGGTCCCCTCCAACCCAAATAATTCTGTGATACCACTCTGCATCTTGGCCCCATTTAAGAGTCCATCAGGAAAACCCATCTCTGCTTTGTGGGGTGAGCAGTGACAGGCCCTGACAAGCATCATTAAGGCAAAACTCCCAAGTTATCCTCATGGATAACTCCATGCTGTAAGAGCAGAGAAAAGACCAGAGACCTAAAATAACCCCTGAGGTTACTGCAAAAAAGTTAACTGAAGCAGATGGGCAGAGCAGAGATTGGAAAGCTCTGTCCTCCAAGATAAAAAGTCACAAGCATTTGATTTTTAAAGTGAGTGCTTCCAACTCATCAGTCAGACACTGACACCGCTTTTATCAACTCCTTCCCAAGCGACAGCAAAGTTCGGTGCTGCTCTGCTCAATTTATTCTGATTTCATTAGGAAAAGAGACATTTAAAAAAAGCAGAAACCTTCCGATTTCCTGTGTTTTGCTGGCTCCCTCCTCTGGCACTTGGAAATATTTTTATTTTGTAATGGGTTTGGCCATGAAGTAATCGGAAACGTGTCCGGCGCTCTCCTTGGACCTGCTCTTCAAGACAAGCAAGACTTGCTCTGACTCATCCTGCCAGAGAACCTGTTTTTAAAAGCTTTTTGTACCCTTGCTGCAGTAATTAAAAGGAAAAGGAGAAGCCACCAGAAATATCACCCTTGCTACTGTCTAGTATTAAAAAAAGTAGTCAAACACCCTTGGAGAAAAGCGATGCCAAGCACAATTA